GAGAATCATGGTTTGAAGCCAGCCCCAGAAAATAGTTCAAAGATCTTTTCTTGAAAAAACCCATCCCAAAAAAGGGCTGGTGGAGTGGCTCAAGGTGTAGGCCCTCAGTACTGTCACAAAAATAACAACAACATCAAAAACAACCATACACCAGTGTCTCATTCCTATAATCCTAGCTACTTGGGAGGCTGTGATCAGGAGGATTGAGTTTCCAGGCCAGCCTGGGCAAACAGTTCTTGAGACCTCATTCCAAAATAACCATAGCAAAATGGCCTGGAGGTGTGGCTCAAATGGTAAAGCACCAGATTTGCAAGCTCGAAGCCCTGAGTTCAAACCCTGGTCCCACCAAAAAAGAAAAAAATACAAACAAAAAGGGCTAGGGACATGGGGTGTGGCTCAAGTGATAGAGTGCTTACCCATCATGTGCAAGGCCCTGGGTTCAATTCCCAGCACCAGGGAAAAAAAGATGATTATATAACACCTCTGTGAGTGGTAAACATGGTTAAGCTTACTCTAACCACAATGGGAAAACAATGTAAGCCTATTCAGAATTGTCACAATGAATTAATTCCCTCTATATAACCATATATCCTAATAAAAATGAAAAAAATAATAAATTCACTCTTCAATAATTCCAGAAAAAGAGAAAGCAACAATACCCAATGTGGGAGTGCTAAAAGGTGCCTTAGTAAACCATAGAAACATAATATTTTTTTAATTATGTTAATAATTTGGATGAAATACATAAAGCTCTAATAGAAAGCCTCTGCAAAATCCAAATTCAGAAAAACTTGGGACCATCTGGAACCATTCTATAACCATTATATAGTTTAAATAAGTAAGACAAAATCAGTGATTAAAACTCAGAGCTCAGATTTTTTTTCTAGGATGTTTCCTCAAATATTTCAAGAGGGGTAAGAGTCAATAACAAGTAAGTACAACTCAAAATCATAAAAAATATTATAATAACCAGATATGCTAACCAGACACCTCAGACAAAAACCAGCTGCATCCTAGTATATCAATAACTGACTACATATAATAGTTTTTTTTGGTGGTACTGGGGCTTGAACTCAGTGCTCTACCACTTGAGCTATACCGCCAGCTCCATATTGTAGATATTTTCTAAAGGCATATAATTATGTATTACAGAAGTTCTAATATTTTAAGTTTAATTCATCAATTGTAACTCAAAAGTATATAAAAATGTAATGAAATATAAACATGTATTTAGTTTTTATGACTTTTTAAAAAATCACTTTTTCAATCAAATTTGTTTTTAAATTTATAGTTTATGTTAGAGAGTAAAAAGTATACAATCAACAGTTTGTTGATTTTTTTTTTTTTTTTTTTAGAACAGGGTCTTCACTTGGTAGCCCAGACTGGCCTTGAACTTGTGATCTTCCTGCCTCACCCTCCCACTTGCTAGGACTATATAGGTATGAGCCAACACACTTGGATTTTTACCCTGATTTAAAAACAACAAATCAACCTTGACTAGTCTTTGGTGGTTTTCACTGCAGCTGGATGAAGGATTAGATAGTATTCCTAGTGAGGCAATTCCTTTTGTTTCAGTACAATTTGAACACGATAAAGAAACTTATTTTTCTTAACTTCAGTAATGAGAAATGCAGCCTCCTTTAATCTGTTTCAAATAGTGAAGGCTGACACTTCACATATGTGATCTGAAATTTTAGATTTGTGTAAATCATATTCTAGGGCTGTAGCTCTGAAACATGAAAACACCAGGAAGCAGTTAGCCACCTTAGAACACAGACACACACACACTGCCCAGCTGTTATCTAAGCAGGCCTAGCAGGTAAAAGGGCCCAGAGCAGTGAGCACACTTACTGCCTATAGCTGCATTTCTAAATCCCATTCTCCAGTGAAAGGAACCAGGACTCCTTAGAGGAGTGGCTGATTCCAGGGCTGGGGCAAGAAAAATGTAGGATGATCCAGAGTAACACCTTGTAGTGCTAGAACATAAGCTATGCTCATCAAAGGCTAGGGCAGGTGGAAAAGGCACAGGGAGCCAACTGAAAGAGCTTCCGAAGGCTGGAGCCGAGGGATAGTGATTGTAACTGGATTGTAATCCATGGAGTAAAACAGACACCTAATGAGTCCATGCTCACACAATTGAACAAATAAACAGGGAGAAGAGGTCTTCACTACAGAAGAATTTCAGTTAATAAATACAGAAGAGAAAAACAAAGTTGCCATTAGACAAATGTTGAAGAAAGAACTGTTGGAAGCAAAATCCATTGTTGGATTGCTAAAAATCAGTGGGTGAAAACTGTATGTGGAATAGGATATCTGTATTGTGTCAATAGTATCCCTCAAGGCATTTATCAATTAGAAGGAAAAACATATTAATTTTATTGTGGAAAAATCCAGCAGACCATCTTTTAACCAAGTGATCAATGTTAACAGCACAAGCATTCCACTGACAGACTCCACTGAGAAGGACAATATGTCCTTTGGACTGGATTGTTAACAAAAATAAAAACTTTATGGGATGTTATCAAACCAACCCAAATTGAGGAATGTTCTAAATAATTGGTCCTCTTAAAAAGTATGAGGGACATGAAAAGACAAGGAAGTTCATGAAACTCATAGATTGGGGAAAGACTAGTGAAATGAGGTGACTAAATACAAAATAGTATTTTGGATTAAGTCCTAGAACAAAAAAACTAGTGGAAAAATTGTTGAAATACAAAATATGAATAAAGTTTGCCACTTATTAATAATCAGTGATACTGCATAAATGTTAATTGCTTAGTTTTTTTAATTTTTTTATTTTTTTGAAACAGACTGTAGCTATGGGCTCAAGCCATCCTCCTCCCTCACTCTCTTATTGCTGGGACCATAACCAAGTGCTTAGTTTTGGTAAATGCACTATGGTTATATAAGATGTCAATAATCAGGGAAAACGGGGTAAAGGATAGATAGTAACTATACAATATTCATAACTGTTCTATAAATTAAAAATTTTTAAAATAAAAATATTAAGACCATTGAATAAAATTTAAGAATCTGTAACAATCCAAAATAAAACAAAAACCAGTGGCTGTTCTTCATTAAAGAACGGTAGCACATGAATGTAGAGGGAATGATAGAAAAATCACAGTCTCACACCACAGATTGTTTATTGACAGCAAAGAGAAAATGAGTGATACATTCATGGAAAGTACCTCAAAGAAGTTATTTCATATTAGCATCACTAGGGCACAGACTCCCATTCAACCCAACTCTCATGCTAGCATTACCAGTGCAAAAGCCTGTGTTCTGTCTCCTGATGTATTCCAATGAGAAGAACACAATGTCATAAATTGAATCTGTTAAGTTTCCTGACCCCTCTACTTATTTAAAGAATACAGGAAGGCCAGAGAATATGTTTAAGTATATTTTGGGGATAATATCAGCAAACTCCAGAATGAAGGATGGAACAAATAAATGTTTGGGAAAAAAAAAAAGGAGATGGGAGATGAAGAGAACACTTCATGTAAAGAGAACATGTATGTTGAATCTTCCAGGAGTGGGGGTACGGAACAAAGGAGAACGATGGAGGAGGTGAATTCAGCGATGACACAGTGTAAATGTCACAGTGTGTCCCAGCACAACAGTAACATGATGATGCTAATAACAAAAAAGAGAACATGTGAAGAGGGCTGGGGGCGTAGCTCGCTGGTAGAGTGCTTGCCTGGCGCACAAGGCCCTGGGTTTGATACCCAGCACTGCGAAAACACAAAACAAAACCAACAGCAAAAGGCATGAAGAAATTGGAGGAAGAAGAAACTTAGCACTATTAAAATCACAATAGTGGGGCAAGGGGTACAGCTCACGGGGAGAGTGCTTGTCTAGCATGAGCCCCAGAACAGTAAATAAAGAAGACCACAATACCACTCAGCAAAAGAAAGAAGACTGTGATTGCATGGAGACAGATGGAGGCCTTCAAATTTGACTATGAAAGCTTACCTTCTTGTTTAAAAATTTTGCTTAAAGATTATACAAGAAACTTGTGTGCTATTATTATTACAACCTTTCTGTAACTCTGAAATTACATTAGCTTTTTTTTTGGGGGGGGGTGTGTTTTAACTACTGACCTGGGTATAGTGACAGAGTTGTTTAACGTATATAACTTATCAAGCTATACATTTGTTTGGTGGTCTCTGTATTTGTCTAATATTTTTTAAAACTGGCTTAAAAGCTAAAATGAAAATATGTTTCATTGATTCTAAGTATTTTTATTACTACCAAATCTAACAATTCTTCTTATGACCTGACTCCTCTCAGTATGACTTCATTTCTTTTCACTCTCCTCTAAGGATCTCTATTCTGGTGTATTTGATGCTCCTTAAACTCACATAACTCTCCCCATTCCCTTCCCACTCTCCACTCTCTCTCCTGATTGCTCTGACAATCCTGAGCCTCCCAAGCTCTTCATTCAGTTTGACACATTCTTCCCCCGATAACACACGGCCTGTGCCCTCAAATATTACCACCCCAGAGAAGACGTCCCCAACCATCTTACCGACGTCTGCCTACTTTCCATTACAGCTCATTCTACTCTGTAATGGGATTTGTTTATCTGCTTATTTTTATATTCACTCATCCTAGTACAATGTAAATTTCATGACAACAGGGACCTTCTAAGTTTTACTCAGTATCACCACATAGATACATGTGTGCGTGTGTGCGTGTGTGTGTGTGTGTGTGTGTGTGTGAAAGGGAAGCTGAGAAGAGGTTGAATCCAAAATACACTTAAAATGCTGCACCAAAGCAAAAAGAAAATGGGTTTGAAGTATAAGAGAAATAAGGCCATTGACAAATGGAAAAGTTGAAGCTCGTTCCACAGCTCACGGTGAAATTTTTATTTCCTCCTGAGCCCCAGGCCTGGTGCTTTGGAGAGAAGCTTTATAAATAATAACACAAAGAAGTGTCCTCTTTCCCTTACCACACAAGTCATTACCAGGTCTGGCTGTGTCCCCTGCTTTCCTTACCTGTGTATTGTCTTCCTGTTTTTTTCCTTAGAATTATCCAGGGCTCTTTTCCTTGCTCCAGTAACTTGACCACATCTGGCTTAGAAGTGGAATGTCCTGCTTACAAGAAAAATATATAGTATAAAAATAAAAACAAAGTCATGAAAACCTTTGAGCCTAATGAATTAAATGTCAAATGTTACTGCTAAAGAGTTCAGATAAAAGGGGTGAAATGATTTAAGAGATGAGGCAGGTTCAGGTGCCAGCCTTGCTAGAACTTGTAAGGCTGAGATTATGGAGATCATGGGATCATAAGGATCACAGTTTGAGGCCAGCCCAAGCAAAAGGTAAGCAAGACCCCATCTCAACTAATAGCTAAACATGGTGGTATGTGCCTGTCATCTCAAACTATCCGGGAAACTGAGATTAGGAGGATTGCAGTTCCTGCCAGATCAGGCAAAAAAGTTTACAAGACCACCCCCCCCAATCTCAACAGAGAAAACCTGGACACAGTGGCACATGCCTGTCATCCCAGCTATAAAATAGGAGGACTGGAGTCCAGGCCTTCCTAAGCCAAAAGCAAGACCTTATCTCTAAAGTAAACAGAGCAAAAAGGGCTGAGTGTGTGGCTGAAGTGGTAAGAGCACCAGTTTAGTAAGCATAAAGCCCTAAGTTCAACCTCCAGTACTGCCAAAAAAAAAAAAAAAAAAGAAAGCAGAGATGGTGAAATCTTATTTTAATTTATACTATAAAATCCATCCCTACCTCCCTGCTTTTCTTCCTCTCCCTCCTCGTCTCCCTCTCTTCCCCTTCCCTTCTCCCTCTGAGACAGGGTCTCACTGTATTGCCCAGGTTGGCCTTGAACTCATGGCTCGAGGGATTCTTCTGCCTTGGGAGTCCTAGGCTCCCAGTAACTTGCACTGCAGGCAAACAACAGCATCTAGCCAGGCTCTGTATCTTAAGAGAAAGTTTAACAATGTCAAAGTTTCCGGAGCCAGGCAGCTAGGGTACAAATTCTTCCCCCTGAACTTACCAGTCCCATGACTCTGACCATGTCACTTCAACTCTATTCTACAGTGTTAGCAAGTAAACTGGGTATGTTGCTAATCTAATATTGATGATTAAGTAATTTTCCTCAGAAGAATATCTGAGATAACAGACCAGGACATAATAAACACAATTATACCAATTCTAAGAATTTTATTTCTTTAAGAGGAAAAGAAGCATCCTGATTGACTTATAAGATTTTCATTCAGTATTAAATGCAAAGTTCATAAGTTGAAACTTTCAACCATAAATCATACAAATTGGTTACAGGAAATGAAATGTGGACTCTTCAGTTTTAAATGAACACTGTTCATTCTGCCTGCTGCTGTGTAAGTCATAGAGGCTCTTCTCATACTCAGAGCACATCAGGAATCTGCATCCAACTGTTGTGGATGGACCAGAGGATGACACAGCACCTCTACAGGAATTTTTGGAGTAAGTACAATGGGAAACCAGGCTTCCTGAGCAATGGTTGGTTATTCATTAAATATACAGCAAGTTCACTAGGCATAGTAGTGCATGCCTGTAATCCCAGCACTCAGGAAGTTGAGGCTGGAGGATCATGAACTCCAGAGCAGCCTGGATTACAAAGTGAACTCCAGGCCAGTCTGGGCTACATAGTGATACTCTATCTCCTAAAACAAGAGCAAACAAACAGGATTTTAATCTAGCCCCTTGGATGCTAAGAGAGGGAGGCAATTACAAGGGTCAGAGGGAGACATGAGTATTCTGGAGAAAATGGTGCTGCTTAATGGCAGAGCCACTGTCAAACTGGGAGGGCTCAAATCTTCCAGAAATATCAAGGAAGAAATTCAGCTTATATCTTGAAATTCACTGAATTGAAAGGTAACATATCACTAGAAGTAAAACATTACTAGAAGTAAACTTACCCAGGGAGACAGGTGGCTATAGTTTCCCTGCATAAGTCCCTCTGAACAGGGTCCAGGTATTCCCACTCCTGCTGAGAGAAGTCTATGACCACATCCCTGAAGGTCACTAATTCCTGAAACTGCAAACCCATGTATTATGAAATTTTAAAAATTCAAGAAGGAAAAACAGGAGAAGAGAAAAAAATTAGAATAAAAGTGTGGTATAGAATAAGTGGCTAACAACAAGTAGAGCCCTATTGCTGCAGACAAACCTTTCTGTGTTAGGGGTTACCACAATAATTTAGGTTTCCTGAGAAATGGATAAAATAAAATTCAAGTTTCTGTATTCAATAAATTATTAGATACAACTGCAGTTTGCCAGTGGCATGATGTATAAATTCCACTAAATGTAAATTTCTTTAAACTGTTTTCCCTTTAACATAAAAAAACCAGGAATATCTTTCCCAAATTCAACATAAAAATCTCCATATTAAGAAAAAGCTATTGCAAAAACATTAGATATTTCCACAAGCCTCAAATTCATTGCTATCTTACAGCATTCATTTTGTTTTGACAAATAACTTTTTGCATTGGCTGGGTAACAATCCATTTTATTATGGATCTCAGACTTATATCTATCCTTGACATGCATACACTTGGCTGGAAAAAATTTCAAAGGCTTCCTGAAAACCAGAGAAGGAAATCAGCACTGATACTTCTTAGGATAATATTCTCATCATTGCTGTCTTCCATCATTCCCTCAATACTTTCCTTGTTCCCGAAATGAATTCAGGATATTGGGGTGTCACAAGAGAGACCACACAACTCAGAAATCAATAGGTAAGGCAAGATTTACTTCTGCAGAAGGGTGTGCCATAGACAGAGTCCAGTTATCAAGCACACAAGGCAAGAAGTCCACTCAGGTTTGATCTCTAACACAAGTCTGCCCTTCACCCTGATTGAACAGGGTTTTGGGTTCACAATCTTCACAACTGGCTAATTTGAAAAGGGGGCAAATGGGGCAAGGGTCCTTGGGGCAGGGAGAACAAAGATTTATCTAAACAACAGTTGCCTTAAGCAAGCAGTTTTTGAAACTAGGGTACCTGGCGATAACAAGAACTTGCTCAGCTAAGAACAGCCCTTTCTTCAAAACAGGAATTTGCAGGGTTAAGTGACATCTCACAAGGCATGGGGGCAACAATTCAGGAAAGTTAACTTGACATCTGTACAATGATAATATACTATGCATTAACCCCTTCGAAGAAAAGACCTGACTTTAGTTGATTCTCACATTCCTGACCCATAATCAAAGACATATCACCCAAGTTCAACAGAACACATTCAACCACAAAATAAACACACTTGTCACTCAGTAACTCCTTGACAAGATCCATGACACGTTTTCAACCAACCTAAAATTTCCAAAAGATGTGAGATCTCATTATACTGATAAAGAAACCCAGGAAAAGATCTGAAGGCAAGTAGAAGTTCCCTCCCTGAGCTGGGCCCTGGTTTCACAGATGTGTTAATGTGGTATGCTATAACCTTGAGGTAGTGTGATAAGCTGTAAACTTGAGGTAGTATGATAAGTTATAACCTTGTGCTAGTATGATATGTTGTAACCTCCTAGCAAGAGGCTAACTGCCATGTTTGCTTTTGTCCTTCTCGCTTGTTTGTTTCTGCATTCTGAGGCATAAAAACCCCACAGCCTTGAGCTGTGGGGCTGGTGCCATTTTTGGGAGAGATCCAGATGCTGGCCTGCTAGCATAATAAATCTTCCTTTCCTCCAGCCACCTGGGTTTGAGTCTTGTTCTCTCTGGTCTGACATTCTTCCCGCAACATTTCTAGAGGCCCCAGAGAGATCAGACCGCCGAGCCCCATTGGGTAATGAGTCCCTGCTCCCTGGCTCTGCAGCCTGTGGGGGTCCCTGGAACCGGGAAGTGTGCACCTCCAATGTGATTCTGGGGTCTCCTTCCAGACAACTGAAGGAGGCTGTGGAGCCATGGACCGGTGGTGGAGTGAAACAGAGATCCATGCCAGACATCCAGACCAGGTAGGAAGCCCCAGGGTAGTCAGTGTAAGGAGCTGGCGTGAACTGATCCGCTGCAGGGGACCAGCCGAATCCTGAAGAGTATCCAGGGTGACACATCCCCTTCCTCTGTGACCAATGTGATTCTGGTCAACTGGGACTAGAGCAGGCCAGGATTTCAGGGGAAAATAAATAGGAACTGATTGTTTTAAACTATGATTGAATGGTGTGAGTTAGCAGCTTGACTCACTTGCATTTCAAGCTCGAATTTGTGGCTCCACAGCTGGGCACCTTTAAGGTCCCCTAAAGGCTACAGAGTCTGAGTGGGCTCGATCTGCTACTTTGCGATGATTGGCATACGGTCTACGGTGGGATTGGACTAGCGTCCGGATTGTAAGTCATCCTGTCGGGCTGAACCCACTACAGTCAAGCCACACCTGACCCCATCGCCTGGGGTTGCGGCCAGACAAGCACCTGTGTGGCCTCTCTGAGAGGTGTCCCCTTCCCTTTGTCTGACCTGTGACACTAATAATCACCAGGCACATATAAAATGGGTTCTTCTGGGTCAAAGCATCCGACGGTGCTCCAGACCATGCTTGCTAACATTAGGGACGGCTTCTCGGGTGACCATGGAGTCCGGATGAAGCCGGCAAAGCTCCAAACCTTTTGTGAGGCAGAATGGCCACCTTCAACATAGGATGGCCCACAGAGGGCACACTGGACCTAGCCACTATCACCTGTGTGAGAGACATAGTTGTTATGTCTCTCAGACATAATAAACAGGTCATCCAAACCAGTTTCCTTACACTGATTCTTGGTACATCCTGGCCACATGCCCACCCAACTGGCTATGTTTTCATGCACCCTGGAGACACACAGCCATTCTGGTTAACAGAAAAGTAAAAGAAAAGAAATTTGAGGTCCGCCACACTTCAGAACCTGAGTCACCAGACCCACCACCATATGTTCTGCTGGTGCACCCCACCACCCTGGCCTCCCAGAGACCTGAGTCTGACTCAGAGGACCCCAATGGAAAGAGGAGGCATTGGAGCCAAACCCCCGCCCATGTCCTCCAACAGCTCCCTCGTTATATCCCCTCTTTGCCTTTGATCGCCTCAGAGAAAGATAGAAGCCATTGGGGAAGGTCACTGAACTCTGGGAGGCTAACAAGCAAGGAGGTAGGAACCCCAGCTGTGGTGTTATGCCCCCGTGCCAGGCTCCAGGGCCGCAATTACCCCAGGCAGATGGGTCATACGTGGTCAGACCCATGCAACACGTGTACCAGCTTTTCACTACCACCGACCTCCTGAACTGGTGGCTGCACACCCCAGCACACTCAGAGGAACCACAGGCTGGCCAACATCATGCACAGCCACCAACCCAACTGGGATGATTGCCATCATCTGCCCTCTTCACTTCTGATGAGTGCCAGTGAGCATACCAAGCAGCCAGAGCAGGGCTAGTTACCCAAGCTCCACCGCAGACTGCAAATCCAGAGCGATGGACAGATGAGAGCATCTCGGACACCAGACCAGACTGGAATCCAAACACTCCCGCCAGGCTCCAATCCATCCAGCGTATGAGACAAGCCATCCTGGAGGGAGCCCGCCAGGGGGGCACGAGGAGCAACTAACCTCACCAGGGTCAGTGAAGTCACACAGAAGCCTGATGAGCTGCCTAGCCAATTCTATGACCAGTTATGCAATGCTTATTGTCGGTATACTCCATTTCGACCCTGAAGCCTCCGAGAACTGGTCTACGATCAACACCACATTCATCTAACAGTCTGCCTCTGATGTTCACCAAAAGCTACAAAAGATGGAGGGCTTCAAAGGGGCCAATATTGACTGACTCATTAGTATAGCAGCCAAGGTAGTAGCAAACCGAGAGGAGATGGCCAAAAGAGAGAAAGAAAAATATCTGGAAAAAAAGGCAAAGATCCTGGCTATGGCCCTCAAGGAGGGAGACGGGAAGACCAGAGGCCAGAAGGGAGGCCGCAACAGGAGAGAATGGAGAAACCCTATGGGAAAAAACCAGTACACCTACTGTAAGGAGGAGGGACATTGGAAAAAGAGTGCCCTCACAAGAAAAAAAAAAAAAGGAAAAAGAAAGAGTGACAGTGGCTGCTGCCAAATCCAAGGAAGCCTGCCACCTAGAGATGAACACAGTCTGGGGAAACGAGTCTGACTGAGAGAGACCGGGCCCCCTTTTGATCAGCCCTCAGGAACCCATGGTCAAGACTGACATTGAGGGCTGCCAAATAGACTTCATTCTGGACACTGGGTGGCTATTTCTACCGTGACCACACCAACTGGTTGGCTCACCAAGGACTCATTCACCATTATAGGGGCCATCAGAAACACCAAGAAGTACTAGTTCTGCAAACCCTGAGAATGCATGGTTGGTGGACACTGGGTCACCAGTGTCTGTATGTGCCAGAAGCTCCAGGCTCCCTTCTGTGAAGAGACTTACTTTCTAAATGAGGCACCACAGTATCTATGGATCTGGGACTGCCTGACGTGATTGCCTTACCGGTGCTAACCTGGAGGTCAGTCTTGAAGAAGAGTGGCACATACATAACCTAGGGACAATAAACCCATCGGCCTCAACCATTCTTAGATCACCTCATGAAGCAGTTCCCGGATGGTTGGGAAGGAAGATGCTACTCCAGCCAAAGTGAGCTACGCCCTCCCTGTCCTCCCAGACCGACCAGAGTATAGCCTGCGAGAGAACAGGCCCATGAAACAGGGGCTAAAGAGAACTCAGAATGCTGGTTCATAACCCTGGAGGGAAGTCCTGGTACCAAAAAAGACAGCCCCAGGCCTGGTAAGGCTGGCACATGACATCACCCATTTGGGCAAAACCTCCCTACAAAGACTATTACACAAATACCTAGTCATTCCCCAATTGGCAACTTTAACTCAGTCGGCCAGCAAGGCTTGCCTGCACTGCACCCAACATAACGCAGGACAGGGACCCAAGCCCCCGCTCCTCTCTCAGAAGAAAGGGGTCTACCCATTCCAACACTTAGAGATGGACTTCACTGAGATCCAACCGAGTAAAACTTATCAGTACCTCCTGGTGGTGGTCTACACTTTCACAGGCTGGGTAGAGGCATATCCCACCCACATGGAAAAGGCCAC